GTCAAATATTAGCAGAATGATCGAATTGATCTGATCAAAGCGTGATCACGATGATCTGATCAAAACAAGTTGATCTGATCAAATGGATAGCTTGAAATGTTCATATTGGCTGATGGATTCTATCGTATAGTTGACTGGTTTTCAGATTTTAACAAACTTTTAGGTGGAAAGCTCAAATGAGAGCCTTGCGGAAAACATTTTTTGCTGCATAAAGTTTTATTTGGCATTTACAGACAGGATTATCGGTCAAGATTAAGTGAGAACTTGAAATGATCTGATTTTTTAATGATCTGATCAAATGATCTGATCTTTAGGCTACGTGTTCTTGATTTTCGAGTACGAAGTGAGTGTACGTGCATTGGTACAGTCGTGTTTTGTCGAGGATGAAAAACTGTTTCTATATATCTCGAGTCCACTCTCACCAGATAAACTGGTGAGACAACCTATTAAATTCGATTTTTTTTCAAGTTTTGCCACAAAATCTTCTAAAGAGCTACTGATTGAACTGGAAAAATAAGCTTCCGCTGTTGTGTGTCACACCCAAATGAACTGAGTTTAAGGTTCAAATTCGTCCGTGGCGTTTAGCCGATGCAGATTACGTGGTGGATCCAAATATTTCAATTTGGGCGCATCGCGCCGTGTTTGTTGGAGGTGTACCACGTCCCATTAAAGCTGGTAATCCACTGCTATCGGATTATCTGTTAATTTGAGTGATTACGATGACAATTTGGCCTGATTTTTAATTGATCATCTTTTTTACTTTGGACATTGGGCAGCACAAGAAGCTTTCAACGATCACGTCGAACATTCTCAGTAGAATTAGGAATGGGATGAGCCGAATCCCCCCAACCCCCCGCACTTCAAGCTTTGCTTACGGAAGTAGGATGGGATCCTTGTTCTAAAGCTCTCCTCACGTCCACCTCGTTCGTAAGCCTGATCTTCAAATATTAAGCGAAATAATTGATGATCAAGCTCATGCAATAGATCATGCAAAAGCTAGCGAAGAAGCTCTTAGTTGGGATTGTCGATTTCAGAAATCTCTTTACTATTGCCCCAAACCCTTCCAAAACGTTCATCTGATCAAATCCTTTGATCGATTTATGTGTTCATCGATCTCTGATCGATCGCTTAGTGAATATAGAATAAAGTAGTGCCTATGAAGATCAGCTTGCACTTGTCTCTGTCTAACGATGCCCTGATCCTTGATTCATGAAGTTTCAGTGGAACTCGCCCATATAATGGATCGTCTCTATGGATGTGTAGCATGCGCTGGAATTGACACGGATGTCGAATATAAGTATCCAAAAGGTCACTTAAAATGTTTGTTGACAGAGCAATGAGGATTAAGTCCTCCAATTCAGCAAATCTTTCTAAATTCACATTTAAAATGGATCGTAAGCTATCGAAAAGCCTTCAGGTGCGGGTCGTGTGGTGTTCACGAATCGAAATTCTTATATGAAAGCGATTGCTGATCGATACGTTCAATTAAGTCATGGAGAAGTGGAGAAAACAGTACGTTTGGGACTGTCATCGCCGATTCATAAGACTATCATTGCCTTTTTTGTGGCGATTTTCGTGTCAGGAATGAGAAAGTCATAAAGAAATGATTTTTAAAATTGAGTTTTTATCCGCCTAAACATTTCGGATCACTCAGATATTATATCCTGTTCATGGAAACCTATTAGTTGGACCTATATACCTGTACTTTCTACAGAGTATTCCACCAATAATTACAGAGTAATCTGTTTCATAGGCAAAGTGTGAAGTAATCACTTCCGTGACAGGTCAATCTGCTTAAAGACATTTTGTCAAACGACAGTTTACCTAAGGACACATTGTCCAACGGGCTGTTTGCCTAACGGACAGTTTGCCCATTGAGCGAAATACCCGTTAAAAACCGTAAGTTAGGCAAACCGTCCACTAGGCAAACCGTCCACTAGGCAAACTGTCCGTAGGCAAACTGTCCGTTAGGCAAACTGTCCGTAGCGAACTGTCTGTAAGGAAAACTGACAAAAATAACGTTTGAGACCGTTGTGACTGACCGAATGACCAAAATTATGACCACTTTTAGCGAATACCAGATGCTTAACCGTTGGAACTCGCGAATTTTTTGGCAAAAGCTATCATTTCATTGGTTTTACCAGGTTGAAATTAAACCGTACGTTCTGGACGATCAACCGTGCGATGAATGTGGTGGTGAGCGCTGTGGCCATCGACCAGCGCCCTTCTTCTGTCCACATCTATCGTGTCTTCAGTACTATTGTGAAAAGTGCTGGGAATCAATTCATGCTAGTCGTGCACGAGAGGATCATAAACCACTGGTTAAAGAGGCTTGAATCGATCGGTAATCGATTGATCAGGCAGATGCCTGTAAATCAGCGTGATTCTGATGGAGTTGTGTGTGTGTGTGTGACTGAAGTGTGGAATTTTATGTTTGAAAATATGCCAGAGTTAAGTGATTCAGGTGTGAAATGGTGTCAGGTAGAGAATTTCCATTGGCAAGACATATTAAATGATCATTTCGATGTAATGAATTAAATCAATTTCTGTGATCATTAAATCAATGATCATTTCAATCAATTTCTGTAGATTTTATGATTTATATGATTTGTTGTTGAGTTTCGATGAAGCGTTGTTGGTGTTTCTCTGTATGTTGTTTTTTTGGCATGATCATTACGATTATTCGTTACTGTTATCATGGTTTTTATTATTACTATTATTATTATTATTATTGCCCTTATCAGAATTATTATTATTCTGATGATTATTACTCTTATTGTTTATGTTACAAGCATTATTAAATATCAATCACAAAAATCTCATTCTCTGAAATGAGCAGCGAATGTATCGATATCGATTATTATTATTATCGATATCGATATCGATATCATTCTCTGTATTATCGATCATATCGATTATGCCAAATATAGCCCAGTAGCCCGATATATATCCAAGAATTTAGAACCATGCTTCCATAGTCCACACACATATATGTAAACCACTTTGATATCGCCTTTATTTTGCTGTAACCTCCAAAATTTAAGATGAGTTTGAAAAGTTTATGCAATCCGGATTGCAAGCACAAGCAAATTCACATATCCACTCCAACGATTTTTACAAATCAAAAGGCACTCAAATAGTCTGGAGATGGATTTAGGAGAGATTTGCGTGAGATAATCATGCGGGGATCATGAGATCATGCGGGATCAGATGATCATGAATGTTGCTGAGATGAGGGAGGATCGTGGAGTTATGGGACCTTCCCGGGTAATTTTTCCCAACGTATCTAATTTTTGTCACGAATTTACTCTTCGTTTGTCTATGAGGAATTTATAGCCCAATATATATCGCAGGATTTAGAGCCATGGCTCCATAGTCCATACATATATGCTATATTTTGAGTATTTTGCAGTATGATGGACTTTGAGAATGAATCGCAAGCTGATAGTGTCATTGTCACGAATGACTGACAATAAGGAGGCTAGTTAATAATAGTAATGCTGACAAATTTATGTGCAAGACGGGAATGGAGACTGTTGGGAAACCACCCAACAGAGTCGACCTGGATACCCAATTTGGGCAGGAATTTGCCCAAAATGTCGCCGCCGCTGCTGCGTTGGCTACAACCGGAATGATTTGGGTGCCTCGTACGGTACTTCTGGATTTCTGCTTGGCCAACGGAATGGGCACATCTTCGAACAGAGCATCACCGAGCTGATTGCATTGATCCGTTGAGCAGAAGCAATATTCGGCTTGTACGATATACGGTGGGAGTGTTTTCAAAGGAATGTCGACTGTGAAACAGCCTTTGATTTGGTGTTGCCTTGGTGAGAGGATGCTGCTCGAGCAACCGTGTGAAACACCTGAATGTATTGATCTGATCAATGGGTTTGATCAAAATCGATTTGAAGCTCGAATCTGATCGGATTCAATGGGAACTTCGAGAAGCCAGCTCACGTTTGAGAAGCTTAGAATTATGTTAAGCTTAAATTAAAATCT